GTCGTCGGTGGCGTCGCTAGCGAAGGGACGTACTATCTGCACCAGCGGTACTGTCGGTAGTAATAGTAGTAGTAGTAGTAGTAGCAGTCGAGAAAACGAAGGGGGTATGTTGGCGTCACGAGGGCGCCTCAACGCGCAACAAGTAGTCTTCCCCCTCCAATTCGCTCTTTATAAATTTTCCCTCTTGCTATTTGCCCCTACCCTCGATCCGTGTGTGGGTGATGGAGGGGAGAGTCGAGAAGGGTTGCGTGGCCATGCGCAGCCGGCGTCGCGACGCCACCACCGTCTGCTCGATTTAACCTGCGCCTGCAATACGCGTCAATACGCTCCGAACGGTAGTCGCGAGGTTGCACTCGCGACAACCTGCACGCGACCAGCGAGCTCGTTTATTCATCTGGCAAGATTGTCTTTTGAGCGACGTTCGAGGACGACTTTATTATGTACATGTTAAAATATTTTTTTAACCGTGAAGAAGTCTGGCATTTAGTTCTTCGAGTTATTATGTTTATTTTTTTACGTAAAATCACAATTACGAGATGCCGCGTATAGTTTACGAAGAAACCGCGGACAATATAATATAATAGTTGAAATAGTTAGTTCTAGTAAATAATAATTCCAAATTTATTATCATAAAATACGTACATAGAAATCGTACGAAGGCAATGGAGGAACCGTTCTTGATTTGTTTAAGTCTTCAACTTCGAACATATGCGTTTGATGTTTTAAATACTTTCCATTTTTCTACATTATCAGGCAACAAACGAGCAACGAAATCGCTAAAAAGACCATAAGTTATGACTTCACCACGCTGAAATGGCAGGCTAGTCTAATGTAGTTGAGAAATATTTGTGGGGATCTAAAGTCCTCGTTATTCTGGTTTATTGCTACAACACGAAAAAGAGTAGTACGTGCTGCCTGTATAAATCTTGCTCGACAATCTTGCTTTCATTCACTTAAGCCAGAACATTCGCAGTTCTGTTACGGTTCTGGATAGCCTAACCTCTGCAGGTGGTCCTAGATCCTTTTTATGCGCTAATAGATTTATTTTATCGATCTACTTGTAGACACTCGAAGCAACGATCAAAGTAATTCGCAAGCGTTAGAAATTGTAAGAAGGTTTTAGAACACTAAACAGCTGTCGTTGTGAACGCATGATATGATTTCGCGAGTTTGAACAAAACTTTGCAACGTAGATAACAACCATTTCAAACGACTTCAAAGCTGCTACTAAATATTCTGAGCTTTCCATCGCCTAGAGATAGTCAAATATAAAATGAACGAGTAATGAGATCTATTTCTTAGAGATTAATCTAACTACGGTGTATAACATCGCACAATAAAATCGATTAACTCTCTATGAAAAGCAGAGAAATATTAGAAATATCACGTTGATATCGTTAAGTATTAGAAAAGACACGTTTCATAGAAGAAATCATATAGCTACCTGAAACGAATGCTCGATCGTACAAAATGCTACTTCCATTGTAGATGTTTCGAAGAGATCTTATCTGTTCGTCCCTCGAACGTCTTCGAACGCGCTGGTGAAATGTTCTTCTCTTGGACCCAATCGCGTATGGACACGTCTGTCTCTCGTAAATCACGCCAGCTACCGCGCTTATTTGCATCTCAATGCGTCCAGGCGAACGACGCCTCCTCCCCCGACGTTTCTTTATTCCTGCCTTCCGCGTTTTTCTCTACCACGATTCGATCTCACCTACCTCTTATGCGTTTCTTCTCTTTCCACTGCGTCCTTTTATTGTTATAGCTACGTACTTTCGTCTCTTGACTGTGGCGCGGTTTTATCCTCCTGTTTTCCTTTCGCCAAGCAGATTCAAGCATTTCCTCGAGAAACGTTATTGCTTGGCGATGTATTGTATCGTCAGAAATGTGGATAGTTGCGAAACTCGGCAAAATTCGTTACGAATTTTTTGTTGTTCATTTTTCTTGATAATTTCGATCACAGGTCACAGAAAAACTACCCTTAATTCCATAAATTTTTAGATAGAAGTACTAGGTAGCCTGTTTAGAAATATTAGGCATTATTGTCTTTGTATTCATTTCAACCATGATCTCTGAAAAGGATTTTCGCTACAAAAATGTCTTTGAAAAATTCCATAAATAATTTCTAATAATTAAACCGTAGAAAGAAAATGACTAATATTCAACGCGACTGAAAAAAATGGTATAAAAAGTCGGTGAATTTTGTAAGCAAACCCGTTTAAAAGAACTTTCCTTCCAATCTCGCGATTTCGTATCAGAAGCACGAGAAAGGCAATTTGCATGCGCTAGTTACGCCGCCCGCACGCGTCCGCTCGGCGAGACGCGTTGAAAATTTCAAAACAACGATATCGCCAGTCGAAGAATGTTATCTGTCGGTCAATTTGCATATCGTTCTTTGCGACACCAGAAACGAGCCATTTTCCCACACTGCTTTCCGGCTTCTCGTATCAATCGGGCCACTTTTGCATCGGTCAATCGTTTATCATGGCGGAAGTTAGAAAAGATGCCAAAACGAAGTATATTGTCGTCCCTCCTTCGTGTTCGTTGCTTCATTGACGTTATAGCGATCACTAAATTACAAATATTTATGCATTTATGGACAATTTAAATGTGCGAAAACCCTAGAGAGTAGGATCATTCTTATTAAAAATAAAATACAAAATATACAAAGATTACATATTATTTCTTCAGCGATATTCACAAAGCACATTTGCGTGAACATCGGCATTCTAATGATCAGACATCGTTATCGAACCTGGTCTATAAGGTGTTTATGATAAGATGAAAATTATGTAAATGCAGTCACAAGGAAATGTTATCGCTCTTAACGCAGAATTTAAACGATTTAATTTGGCTTGCTATTGGAGTTCCGCTCGTATTTGTATGCAACTTTACGTGAAAATGGGACGATTTGGGGAAGTGAGAAGGATTTAGTTGAACGCCAAAGAAAATTACATATGAATAGTAGAATCGCATTAAATATTCATATGTGGAACGTTTAATGTCAGAACATCTAATTGCAGGATTATATACCTTGTTAGAATGAATTTCTGATTGATCTGTAGACTCTTCGCGTATGTATAATACTTGTTTTGTAAAATATTCTGTTTTCGCTTCTAACAGAGAACACTAATTCTACTTCCAAAATAACCTAGATAATTGTATTAGACCATCGTTTATTTGCTAAATATACGTTTCATATTAAGCACGTTTCTCTCTTTTATATTTGATAAGAAATCGATGAAGCAAATCGCATGTACTTATCGTAAATGAGAAGTAAGGCTTAAAACGAAATTAATCCCTATGATTCGTAATGCGGTCGTTTAATGATACTATTTCGTTGAATATTGAAAGAAATTAGTTTTACTTTTGCAGATAAAACTATAAAAGAGTAAATATCTAAATCTGCGATGCAGCACGCAACGGTATAATTACGTAAAACATCGATACAATATCATTTGAACAAAGCATACTGTGCTTTACACGCGTAAACTAAATTATTACGTAACCTAACAATCAAATATTAATATCAGCATGTATAAATCGTAATTTTACATACGTTATAAAGTTTATACGATTAGAATTTAACGGATAATTAGTATTTTATTCATGAACAATGTAACGAGTGTTACGAAATAAGAAGAGGTCATGTTGCACGTTTCCCCTGCTTACGATTCGCTTGTATTTTGGAGCGTTTCCAACCGCTGCGCGAGTCGCCGCGTCGGAATATCCGAGTACGAGTGTTTTCCTCGTCGGTCGCGTTAATAAGCGGACACTCGCCTATTACCGGAAATTGAGCGTACGCGCAAGCGCCTCCCGTTCGGGTTCAAAGGTTACGTAAACCTTCGATCGTACGCATTTCGAATGCACGCGAACGCATGCAGTGTCATTGATACTATATTTAGAATCACGATATCTTCCTTCCATTTTATTTCATTTTTATTTTTAACACGTCGCTGTTGTGTCTTTCT